TTACCTTTTAAATATGTGAACATAGTTATTACCAGTTTAACCTCTTTATCAATTACTTTTATCATCTACATCATTTCTCAGTCTGGCTTTACTGACTGATTTTTCTCCTGGGTCAAAATGTTCTCCCGCTTGGCATGTCTAATAATTTTTATTGGATGTTGGAAACTGTAAATGTTATATGCTATTAAGTATCTGAATGTTTTGGCTCTGTTCTGACATGCAATCAGTTTGAACCTGTGAAAATCTGTTTTTAAGCCCTAGGAAAGGTCTAGATTTGCCTTCCCTCCAGGATTGTGTAGTCATTCTACTAATGAACAACAGACTCCATGTGGACTCCAGTTAATGTCCCTGATGACCTCCAAGGCATCTCCACTCTGGGAGGTGGAAGCTTAAACATCTATCTCTTTGGTCTGGATGAACTCTCGAAATAGGTTCAGCTTACAACTTTTCGGTCATCTTACAAGGATTTGTGGACTTTTCCTCACAGTTGAATGGCCTAATGTTCAACAAATACTCAAAGGAACCTTATACAGATTTCTGGAGCAATTTCTCTGAGCAGCTCCCTCTTCTCTGGTACACTATTCCACAACTTCTAGCTGCCTGAGCCTCTCTGAAATGCAATCTCCATCTCCTCAACTCAGCAAGACCACCATGGTGTGTCTGGTTTCCCCATCATGTGCTTATAGCCTGGAAATTGCCTTCAGGTAGAAAGTGAGGGAGGTCATAGGGATCAAATCATTTGTGTCCCTACTCTCAAAGATCAGAGTCCTATGTCAACTATTATCCAGTGTTTGAAAACAGTTGTTTCATACGTTTTATCTAATATTGTAGTTGCTTGGGGCTGTCCAGGTCAAGTTCTTGATACTGCCTCCTGGCTGCATGCTGAAGTCCATACCTGGTTTTTAAAGTACTTTTGTATCCATCAATGGATTTCAGCCTCACAAGAACCCCGTGAAGCAAACAATATTGCCAGTGAGAAAATGTATCACCAATAAAAGATGCAGAATAATTGAGAATACTATAATAGTGGTATTAATAATAGCTAATATTTATTGAGTACTTACTATGTGGCAGGTACCACCTTGAGTACTTTACATATGTAAGTTCATTTCATCATCACAATGGCATTATGAGGTAGGTACTTTCTGCAAAAGAGGGAACTTAAACACAGAGAAGCTGAATAACTTGCCTAGTATCACAACACTAGCAACTGGCAGAGCTGGGGTAAGGCCCAAGCCCTTAAGCCACTATTCCGTAAAACCTGTTGTCACTTTCCTGTTGTATAAACAAAAGCCTTCTGCACACAGAATAATCCGGAGGGCGAGGGGAAACACCGTGGACTATGGGGAAAGGGAGGAGACCGAGAAAAGAGCAGTTAATTCTCAAGGGCCATATTCTCATGCACAAGGAGGGTGGGAAAATTCTATTCTCAAAGGCCCGCTGTGTTTGGGATAGAAAAGAAAATATATTCTCAGACTACTCCCATAGATACAATGCAATAAATGCTAGTTAATCCACAAAAAACTATTTAACCATAACATAGCTAAAAATAGCAGCTTTATAAATATTTGGTAAATAGGTACTGAGGGCCTGGTAGGTGCCGCAAATTGTTTTAAGAGCTGAGGACACAGAACAAAAGTCAGACAAAATCCCTACAGTCCTGAAGCTTATCTTTCCACAGAAGACAGATGAATAACACATAAATAAAAAAATTAAGTAAGTGAATAAAGTAACTTCCAAACAGAAGAAATGCTAGAGGAAAATTTAAAAGGCTGCTGTGAGGGAGAAGGGGGAATGAGGGGCCCTGTTAGGCTGGGGTAAGGGGGGCGGGCATGCTGAGAACACAGTATGTGAGAAGAGATCGGAAGGACAACAGACCAACATCCGAAAACAGGAGAGAGAAGCTGTTCACACAGGAAGCTATAAAGTAAAGTGGTGTAAGAACTGTATTCAAAAACACAAGGCAGGCCAGTGCGGTTAAAATACGTGAATAGTGAAAATGGGGTGGTTTAAGATAGAGCTGATTTGGAAGGCAGGGAATGAGGATTTTTTTGTTGTTTTTTAATTTAACTTCACTATTTCTGCTTATATTATTTTCTACTTGTATTTTTTTCAATCAAGTTTAATATTCTCTTAGATAATTTAAACTGTTATTTCTACTTATTTTTGGCATAGACTCACCAAACTACTTAATTCGACTAGGTTCCTTTAATTCTGTTTAGTTACTTCCTAGAGCTGTATATACATTACTCTAAAAGAAATGCTAATGAGCAGAAAAACTTACTGATCTCAGTGTCCTTCATTCAAAATAAAGCATCTAATCCAGCCGATTTTAATGAAATGACTCAATGTTTTGACATGCAAGCAAAAAAACAAGAGTTATTCTGTTTATCGACAAAGTTGATATCTCTTCTCTACACAGGAAATTCAGAGAGAATCCCATGGCAATAACTGAATAGCTTTTCCCTTCCACACACCAGTGTGGTCTAGAGGAAAAGGCAAAACAACAAAGTTAATGAACTTTTAACAAGCATTTACGGGAATTTCTAAAGATGTTTTATGGATGTTCTGAAAGTGATTTCACAAATGTGGAAAATTTATAGTTGGTTTCCTTCTAACTGAGACAGAAGAATGCCACTCTCACCAAGTTCTACCAGACAAATTACTTTTGTGCCTAAAATACCACAAATGGGAATTCGCAATCTAACATTAGGCTGTTAAACTGTTGTCCCTGATATTTATTTTCTACCCTTCTTTCCCAATTCAAGGTGCTGATATAGTAGAGCTGAAGCATGATTTTATGTTTTATATTAAAATAAAAGATTACACTCAGAATCAAACATAAGAACAGACCTAGAAACTAAAATGTTTGTTTTTCAACTTTGACTCATTTATGACAAAAATGATTAACAAATCTTCTAACCACCCTTACCAATTAGGAAAAATATAAAAAGAACAGAAAAGAAAAGAAAAGCCGTAGTACTTATTCAGCACCACTGCTTTTAATTTCTCCAACTCTTCAGTACCACATGGAAGATACCAGCCAAAAGCACACAGGCCTGGTTTTAGATCGCTGGATGATCTGAAGAGTATCCTGTCCTACCAACAACCTATTCAGATACTACTCCTGCTGATCACACACACGTCTTAAAAAATCATATCTTTAGGGCAAATAAATCAACAGTCCTCATGTTCTCAAGTATAATTTCCTAATATAATGTATTTCCTTCACCAAAGATAAATGTTTCAAGATCTTTATAAAAATGTGGCTTTCAGCAAATATTACACACAGCAAACAGACTGACATAGGCACAGTGTCTTTCAGTGGCTGCACTAATAACTGCACTAATAACAACCACATGTCCTTATTTCCCAATAAGACACAGTGTAAAGCATAAACATTACATGAAGTTTTCTCCTCCAAAGTGCTTAATCAGAATCTAAATCAAACCTCAACACTCAACTTTCAGTTTACAAGAAATACACAAGATAGAGGAACAAGTTAAGGAAACAATCAAATAGAAAACTGGTCTGCACTCTTCAACATGTCAGTGTCATGGGGGATAAAAGTAGGGGACCCAAGTAGACACTACAGAGATACAATAACCAAATGCAAGGTGTGGACTTTGTTTGGATCCTGGTTTTTAAAAAACACTAAAGACACTTAGTGAAAACTGGAAAAATCTAAATGTGGAGTGGATATCAGATCACAGTACTGTTCATTTTCACAGGGTGGACAGCAGCTCGTGTTTGGGAAGAGAACACCCTTGTTCTTAGGAGGAGCACGAGGACTCAGGAACCAGGTGCCACAATGTCTGCAACCTACTTTCAAATAAATCACACAAAAAATTCTAATATACAATTACGTGTGTACATGTGTATGTGTAAGAAGAGATAAATAAAGCAACTGATAAGAATTTTTTAATCTAATGTAAAGCACAACTTAGGGAATACAGTCATTAATACTGTAATAACTACGTACGGTGCCAGGTGGGTATTTGAAATATCGGGGGGATCACTTTGTAAGCATGATTGTCTAACCACTGTGCTGCATACCTGAAACTAATGCAAAAAGTACTGAATGTAAACTGTAATTAAAAGATAAAATTTTTAAAAATTTTCTGAGTCTAGACAGAGGGAATATGGGAGATTCAACTATTCTTTCAACTTTAATACAGACGTGAAATTTTTAAAAATAAAAAGGCCTTTCCCACATCTAGGTCACAGAGATACTTCCTATATTTTTTTATTTGCATAGAGAGTTGTGATGCCTCTAGAGTTCTCTCTATACGTGGTATGACACAGATCACTTTCTTTTCCTCTGTACGAAGTTCCAGCTTCCTCTACACAATGTACTAAACTGTGTGTCCTTTCCCCACTAATCTGCAGAAGAGCGGTTTTTGGTTCCACTGAAGGAGCTAAGCAGAGGAAGGTGAAAGGACTAAGAAAGTAGAAAAAACAGCAGAGGGGGAAAGAAGGAAGATCTAAATAATGGAAGTCTAAGGGCTTAGCGAGGAAGGACCAAGAATAAATGAGGCTATTATCAAATTCCACATTTACTAAAGCACATAAGAAGTCAATGGAAAAAAATGACTGAACACCTACTTAAAAATATATGTATATATGCCCCCAAAGCTATTCAGGAAACATCTAATTTATTTGGTCCATAATATCACAAAGAGAAAGTCAATTACACCAAGAATTAACCATCTCCAACCAACCAGTAAACTGGATTACATTTTACTGAGTCTTTACTCTACTTTAGACAGAACAAAAAAGACAGCAAAGGAGAGACATTATAAGCATCATGCAGACTTTTTTTTACAAACTTTCAGATTCTATGGGAATGTTTAAAGGTGACTTTAAAACCTATTTCTTTAATTTAGCACCTAGATCAGATCCTAAAAACATAAACTTAGAGAATTCATAACTCTTCATCCCACTACTGAAAGCAAGTCAGAAAATATAAATGTTCTGTATGAGAAAACTCTAAAACATACCTTTTATTTTCAGCCAGACTGGCTCCTTCATCCTTCAGCTGTTTACTTTTCTCAGCACAGCCTTCGAGGAGACTTTCCTTCCTACGTTTAGTGGCATGAAGCCCGTTCCCTTCATCACCCTCAACTGCATCCTTCTCGTCAGCAGCTTCAGCCTCAAACTGCTGGGAAGTGGCCTTTGAGACCTTCTCGCCAATTTTCCTCTTCCATCCGAAGGAAGCCATTCTGGAGAAGGACAGAGAAAGAGCTTTAAATTTCAAACCTGGCCCCTTATAGAAGTATTCCAACTAAGGGAAGAAGAAATAGCAGGATCAGACTACCACCGTTTAACTCCTAATTAAACAGTGGCCCTAGGAAATCACCACTGAAGGCTGCTAACATCAAGAAAGACAACTGGACATTATGCATCTCCTGATGGAGGGGACACGCTAGCCATGATGTGCTCTTGCCAAAAATTAATCCTGAATCAGACCAAGGCTCTAGCTTATAAAAAATACGGGATGCAGATGAGCATGCAGACAGCAAAAAATAAAAATAAAGCTGGTTTCTTCAAGAAATAAACTGCCAGGAAAGAAAAAAAAAAAAAAAGATGGGAGGTAACCCCCAAATTATGAGAGACATACTAGCCAAATAGAATGCATGGATCTTGTTTAGCTCTGGGTTCAAACAGGCCAATGGGGAGGAAATGGGAAATCAGAACACTGATTTGATATTTGATGATAATAAGGTTATTTTTTAGGTATGATAAATAGTATTATGATTATGTTTGTAAAAAAACCCGTATCTTTTAGGAATACATACTAAAATATTTCACATAAAATTACATAATATCTAGGAATTGTTTCAATGTAACCAGTGGGAGGTGGGGGCAGTAGAGGAGAAATACAGATGAAAAGATTGCTGAATTGACAGCTGAGGAAGTTAGGGGATGGGTGCATAAGCCTCCTTATACTTTTCTCTCTCTTTTTATATATGCTTCTAATAAAAAGTTTTAAGAGATTCACACCTGGCAAATTCACAGCTGGTGATTCGAAAAGGTAACAAATGTTGAATTGTTTTGTAAATCTGCAATTACGTACAAATGTAAGGGACAAGAAAGAATAAAAGAACAATTGATGGAACAACATCAAAGGAAACCCTGGAAGAATTCAACAAATATTTATTTAGAGAAGGGATTTACTGAGGGATCCAAGAATTCTTACTAATTACATAGATGTACTTAAAAATTCTGAGAAACCTCTGAAATTTTTATGTAAGTTTTTATATGCCCGTGTGCATTCTTAGCGAAGTCTATGACCCCAAGGAGACTATGATCAACAGACTGAGCAACCCGAGGAACAGGAAAAACAATAAACCAGAAGTCTTCGTAAAATTATCCAAGAAGGGCATTGTGGGATAAGGGGAAGAGAGAAATGAAGCAGTAAGTCCTAGCAGATATCAAAGTCTTCACCACCGAGGCACATGACTGAGGTAAAAGCACAGTAAGTAATCATTAGAAGGAAGGGGAGAGAAAAAGTGAGGGCAGCTGTGAGGCCAGCCATGGGGAAAGGCCCTAGATAGTGACAGAACTTGGAGGGCTAAGAAAATTATGGGTTGTGTGTCTAAGCTCTTAATGAGTATAAATGAGTGCCAATAAATTACAGCAATCGAGAAATATATAGGCTGATAGGGTGAACCATATGCTTTCCAAAGGAGCAGGGATTTTTAGAAAAGCCTAGGGAAGTCATGGATTATAAACTACACTAGGAAATTAGAACAATGCCACTCTCTCTCCCCAGACCTATCATAATATGAGAGAATGAGACTCCTATGTTTGAAGATGACTATAAGCAAGTTAGGGGAAGAACCAAGAAATGCCTGAAAATGAAAGTGTGATGACTACGGCACAGAAGTCCAGAGGCACAGAGTGAGGACCATGTGAGAGAGTGGACCATGAGGAGTCTCACAAGATACCAGGGTAATTCAAGATAAGAAAGAAGTCTTGTGTTTATGACTGTCCCTAAAGCTGACTAGAATGAAGATGATTTGGTTTTCTGGCTTCAAGTTTCCAAATGGAACTTTGTGAGGCACTCTATTAATAGACGGACACCTGTATTAATTTACTAAAGACAAATTCATTATAACTCATTGATCAGGTCTGTAGATTATTGGGAGCAGGGGGTTAGGGTGGGAGAAAAGGAAAAAGACGTACAGATCCACGTGTATTTTTTTTTTTAATTAATAGTTCATTTAGACTCCCATTACCGTCCCCCATCCTCCAACCCAAACCACTGTTACAAATGCTGAAGACAGGTATAGGTCAAGGGCCCACGCAGTGGTTTTCAACCCCGTAGGAAAAAGCCACACACCCCACTGCCTCAGGCATTTCTGCCAATCTCCTCCACAAATCCTTTAGGATCTTCTAGAGATCAGAGGCTGTGGAGGTCAGGACACAATGAGGTTTTGTAAGAGGCCTGATGACCCCTATCAACTGACAAGTTTAGCCTTGAAGAGAGGGACAAGAATACATTCCTCTCGGACAACACCAAATATTGAATGAAAAGTATAGGCAAGTTCAGAGGTAGAGGAAAATGAAAATGACAAATTTCATACCCCAAGCTTCACATTTTTCAGAGAAAAGAGGAGGCTAGTCATCTGCTCCAAGTAAAAGGGAAAGAAATGAACCTAAGGCATGAGAACAGAAAAGATCTGAAACAGTCACTGTGAATAGGAAAAGCAACAATAAGGGATGAGTCAAGATGCCAAACGGAACCAAGGGCGCACTAAGGTTAAAATGCACGACTCTCCTACCAAAACCATTAGTACGTTTTATATTTTCTTCAAAATTGTCTGGAGACCACAAGAGTAAAGCCAATTACAATACAGAATAAGTGCTAGAAGAGAGTAAACAAACGGTGCTAGGATGTCAGAGAAGAAACACTTCAGCTTCGGTGGATTTTGAAGAATAAAAATTAGCCAGGTTTAAAAGAAGGGCGAGTCCTACAACATAAACAACATGCTTTCTGCTTTGGAGAATTTAACACTCTGAATTGATTCAGTAAGTAGGATGAGTTTATTGTTCTTCTAATGCTACTTGAACATTAAATTTAAACTTCTTAAAAAGAAGGCTTTCTTCTACATCTTAAAGAATTAGAAAGCTTCCCTGTGAAGCCGTTCGGAGCAGGGCTTTTGTTTGCTGGGAGGTTTTAAATTACTACTTCGATTTCATCAGCTGTTATTGGCCTATTCAGGTTTTCTGATTCTTCCTGATTCCGTTTTACATGATCTCACTCATATGTGGAACCTAATAAACAAAATAGACTGATGAACAAAATAGATCCAGTGACACAGAAGCATAGAACAGACTGATGGATCTCAGTGGGAAGTTGGGGGTGCGGGAGTAAGTGGGGAGAAATTAACCAAAGAACTTATATGTTTATGTGCATAACCTACGGACCCAGACAATAGTGTGGTGAAGGCCTGGGGTGGGGGGGCAGATGCAGGGTGGAGGGGATCAAAGAGGAAAAAAAGGGGATATCTGTAATATTTTCAACAATAAAGATAAATTTAAAAAAATCTTTCTTGAATCTGTGTAGTCAGATGCACAAGGCACCAACATCCTAACCTTTACATTTTCCACCATGATACAAAAAATCACGGGTAAATCATAATTAAGTGGGTTTCATGTTTAACTCACAAAGCAAGACAAATTCACTTTACGCAGAATTATGTTTAATTACTGCCGTGCAAACTCCAAACAACGACGCTGGATTCTAAATTCTTTTGCTGGGCAGCGATCCAGGAGGCCCTCGAGGGCTGCAGCCGGCCGGACGAGCCAGGGAAGGCTCCCCGCCCGGCCGGGGCGCGACCCCCAGGCGGGAACCCGCTGGCAGAGCCGGCTCCGGACGCCGAGCGGACCCCGGCCGGTCCAGGGAGGTGTTCGGAGGCGAGGAGTTCAAGAAGCGATTTACCCGAAGATGTCCCCGCGAGACTGAAGCCAGCATGAGCGACTCGCCTTCATTTCCCACAGGGATAAAAACGCGGGGCGCCCGT